CAACCCACGCAAGCTAGATAATTCCGCACACAGCTGCAATTCCAGGTTTTCAAACAGAGATGGCGACAAAGAGGCAAAACTTACGGACTGCAGCTTTAAATAAAAAGGTAAATTAGAAATGTATACTGCTGTTCAAATGTTTGGGGTCAGTAAGAAAAAAATAAAAGATAAAGAAATTAATACATTTATTCAACATGTCAGTTTTTTACTTTTTTATTTATCAAAGAATTCTGAAAAAAAATGTATCATGGTTTCCACAAAAATATTGAGCAGCAGAACTGTTTTTCAACACTGATAATAAGAAATGTTTCTTGAGCACCAGATCATCATATAATATATATATATATATATATATATATATATATATAAAAAAAAAAGCGTAATGCACTACAATGTTATTTTTTGTAAATGTGAGTTTATGTGAATGTGTGTGTGAATTTTAAGATTTTTTTTAAAGCTGAAAAGTACTAAACCTATCCTTGGGGTCTATGTGTTTTCTGTGATTTCTATCAACTGAATGAATTAGAATATTCTTGGACAGTTTGTTTTAAAACATCTGTGCATTGCTTATAATCACTTTCATATATGCACAATCAGCATCTTCCTAATGATAAAATGATTTAAGGTTATTCACGCAAGTTATTTGTTTGCATATTTCTCAGTATACAGACCTGACACTGCTCGTCTGCTAGAATCCCAAACCAATGTTCAGTGGAATGTGCTCTTCACACTTTTCCTGCAGTCTTTATTTTATTTTCATTTCATTTGTTCCTCTTTTTAAATTGTAATAATATTTCACAATATTACTATTTTTACTGTATGTACAGTTTTGATCAAAAAAATGTAGCCTTGGTGAGAATAAGGGAGTTCTTTCAAAAACATTAAAACAACCTCTCCCTCCCTTCACGTTCTTCACAGGTTTGGGTAGTGAAGTCAATGGAGCATCTGGTCTGCGTCTGTTATTAGGTGTGTAAACGCCTCACTTAGCGTGCCCCCATTCCTCCTGTGCTGCTACAATGATGTAAAATGGATTTGAATTGAAGGGGTGTGCGCCTCTAAGGATGGATCGGCAAAACCCCTTATCAAAGGAAATGATCTTTAAAATATCATGATAACGTTGTTAGTCAGAAATCGCTTTTCTGCACAAAGCTGCTACTTCATGTCACAAAAACTCAATTTGAAAACATAAAGTGAGCCTGCTGTTGCAGTTGCGTTACACTGTGTCTACACCGGACACGACAGTTGTCACGTCACTCCTCACCACGATGCAACATCTAAAGGCTGTCTACACTGGATGCGAGAAAGCGACCATTGCAAATCATTTGAACTTTGTGTCAGTTATGCCATAAATAGAACGAGGCATCAGTTTACTGTTGGGAATTTGTCGTGTTGCACCTCGCTGCATGTAGTATAGATAGCATCACTGATTATAATGGGTTTGATTTGTCCCGTCGCACTGCTCACGTCCGGTCTAGACATGGTGTTACGGTGTTGCATTGCTATTTATGCTACCTTTCAAAAGTTTGGGGTCGGCACGTTTTTTTTTTTAATGCTTTTGAAATAAGTAGTTAGTTTTATTTATTCCTATGAGGGCAAAGCTTTGTTTTCAGCTGCCATTACGGCCAGGCTTCAGTGTCATATGATCTTTCATAAATCATTATGATATGCTAATTTGGTGCCCAAGAAACATTTCTTATCACAGTTGAAAATGGTTGTGCTGCTTAATATTTTTGTGGAAACCATGACACTTTTATTCAGCATTTTTTTGAGTATGAATAATAAAAAAACAAACTTACTAACCCCAAACTTTTTAATGGTAGTGTATATTTAGTTTAGATTACAAAGACTTGAGTGTTAATTAGTTTGACTTTTTATAATTTAGCCAATATCTTTAAATATGGATGCTAAAGCATTCCGTTAACATGGGTTAGTTACAGATGCAGTTCCCGACACTTAACAGTATCTGTAAATGTGTGATTTCTTTCTGATTTTAATTGTCTTGCCACTTGGTCCCTTGACTTCACCTTCTCCTCTCTTAAGATTTTGTGGGCCATTCCCTGTGTTTGTCTCTCTCTCTTTCCATTGTTATTTCTAATTTATCCTATATGTTTGAAGTTCTTACAGCTCAAGAGTTTTGAAAAGTACACTTACTGAACATCTAATCTGAATTTTTTTCTTAGCATCTTAGACAAGGAGCAATTGTTTAGACCTGGAGTTTATATAACGTGCATATTTTATTCATGTTTTCTATAGCAGATTGCACATATTTTCTCATATTCTCATCATCACTACACTAAAACTATGATATTATTATCTATTATATGGTCTTCTAAAAGTGTGCCTAGATTATTTACAAACTATTTCTCAAGCACTTTTGCACCATTTACTTTTCAAACCTTTGAGTATCTTTGGGAAATGGTGACATAATGTAATTACTTTAAAATGCAAGAAAATAATATGCTTTTGCATGCTAATTTTATTGTCACTTGATGTGCAATTATTTTTTCTAAATGTGTAAAGTCTAAATGCTAAATGTGTGTTTCAAGAAGGGGAAGAAATAATTAGCATGTGTATGTTTTTTTTTCAGAAACCACAGGTGAATCAACCCTGAGAGTGACTGATGTCCCACCAACATCTGCAGCTATGTCTGACGGCAGCGATAAACAGTTTAAGAAGGTAAATTACTTTTCTGAATGCTCAAGCACGACCATGATATATGATGGCCCTTTTGATCCTTTTGTTCTTCAGCTATTATAATAATTAAAGCAGCTTAAGTTTCTTTACTTGCATTTTTCTGCCTAGCTGTGTTGCTTGGGCTTTTAACTGAGTTGCTAACTGCTGTGCATTTATTTTGACTATTTACTGCAAGACACAAACGGCTCTTTTGTAGACCTGCTAAATACGGACACTGTTTTAGTAGCTTGTGACACCTGGCTAATGCTGAAGTTAAGCTGCCCCCCACTATAATAAATGAAAATACACTACATGGCTAAAAAGTATGTGGACTGTCAGACTGGAGCAGAAAAGGCCCCAATCTGCTCCAGATGTCTATGCATTGCTGTGTGTTTGTTTTTATGAACTTGCTAGTAATGAGTGTAACTGAATTAGCCAAAACCAGTTGATTAGAAGAGTGTCCTCCTATTTTTGACCATATGGTATACCTGTGTGTGTGTTTTTTTTTTGTGGAAATTATTTGTGAGCAGTGCTGTAGTCTACTTTGCTCCTGATATTTTACCTCTTTTTGGATGTCTTCATATTATTTGAAAGAAATGTCTCTCTCAGTGTGCGCTATAGGGCAGAAGTCTGTTTTTCTCCATTTACATGCTGAACCATTGACAGATGAGCATCAAGGCTATTAGAGATATGTTTGTATCCCTTTCTAGCAATAGGTTCACATATGTTGTCCTGCAACTGTACCTCTTGTTGCAGGAGATTAATTTCTGTCTTTTTCAGCTACATGTTTGTCTGTCATGGCCATTACACTCTCTCTTAAAAAACTGTTGCTTCTCTGAGAGCAAAGAATTCACTCCTTGGTGTTTTAATGTTTAATATCAGTGTTCTGTTTTTTTTTTTACATTTTCTTTGTTTCCTCACTCATAAATCCATCATTATCTGCATTGAAGCTAAACACTTTTCAGTTTAGATTAGCACTAATTAAAGTTTTTCATATTAGCGTACTTCAAATAGGATGTAGACCATAAAATGTCTTTAACAGAAAAGGTTTTAGCAGTAATATTGGCAGTCTAAGCATGTACATTACCATTCAAACGTTTGTGGTCAGTGAGATTTTTTTTAAGGTAATTTAAACTTCTATTCAGCAAGGATGCATTAAATTGATTAAACATGACAGTAAAGGTGTTTGTAATGTTACAAAAGATTTCTATTTCAAATAAATGCTGTTCTTTTCAACTTTCTATTCATCAAAGAATCATAAATGCGTCACGGTTTCCATCATAATATTAAGCAGCACAGCTGTTTTCAACATTAATAGTAATTGTTTCTTGAGCACCAAATTAGCATATTAAATTATTAAATTTTTAATGTGTGTGATGAAGGATCATTTAATAATACACAAAACTGGAGGAATGGTTGCTTAAAAAATTCAGCTTTGCCATCACAGGAATAAATTACATTTTAAAATGTTGAAATAGAAAACAGTTATTTTAAATTGTAATAATATTTTTTCAACATTTTAAACAAATAAATGAAGCTTAAAGCATAAAAAAAGACTTCTTTCAAAAACTTTTAAATGGTAATGTGTATATATAATGTAAGAAAATTATGAAAGCGAATTCATAACTATGTACAGAAGCAGCTTGCATGTATGAAAGACATGATTTGATAGACATGGTAATATTTGCTCTTGCCAGCTTCAGGCTTTGCACTGCTCTGCAACTAAATCACTCATTGTACCTCAAATGCCCGCTTTCCTTAGTAGCAGTAATTTTATGTGATTTTAGTTCATCTATTAAAAGCTATTAGAATTGCCTTTACTGCAGTTATATATCAGCTTGACAATACTGACTGTGAGTGCTGGTCTTGAATGTGGTTCTACATTAGTGTTAATAAATGTTTGTAAATCCCTCTGATCTTCGCAGTTCAGATCTTCCCCCTGCCTTTTCCTGAGAGACCCTTATGGTTGTCTCTTTCTGCTCTTCAAGATTTTAGGTTCATCATAACTGAGTTAGATTAAAAAGTACTGTATTACCAAAGCAGTATATTAAAGTGAGGCGGACCATTTCCCAAAAGCTCTGCCATGTCCTCCTATTAGTTGGTAAGCAGGTTGATTGACTGCCCGTCTCTGTCACTGTGCCGTCCCTCAGCAGGGGCTGCTCAGCGAGCTCATTCTCATTCAGCAGCAGATCCAGCAGCATGAAGAGGAGATGCGGCGGGCGGCAGATAATAATGCTCCGCCTCCGCTGCGTGAACCCAGTCCCAGCCCGGCCCCGAACCCCAGCCCCTCGCAGTCCAAACGCAAGGTGAAGGTCCACTCCCCCACCACCCTTCTGATGCTGTGGCTCTCATTACAGTCTTTGACTGCCCCACACTATTCTTTTGTAACTATTTTGTGAATTTTTAACACTCAGCAATAAATTTTTCCCAAATTCTTATTAGCTGAATATAATGAATATGTTAATATTTATAATATAGCTATCAGAATGGTGGAGGTATTAACAACTTGTGTGAGAGAACTACAACTTTAATATACTCTAGTTACAAACCAAATAAGTAGCTCCACCCATCCAAGATCTTAGAAATTTGCAGCTCCAGTGTAGGTGCCGTTCGGAATGATCATATCCTAAGCGACAGCTTAATCCACACTTGTATATTAATTTGATCTGAGCATCTCTATGCCTACATGCTTTTTCCACCAAACCGAGATTTCACTGTGATCTTATTCCATCTCATAGCTTGGGGTCCAAAGTCTGAGACCAATAGATAAAATAATTACATAGTCAGGGATAGTGGGCTGGTTGAGGGAAGTTGTCATAAAGGCAGTTTTTCTCTTTAAACGTATAAATAAAAATTGCCTTTAATTAGAAAAATTTGGAATTCTGTAATCCAAACTGAAATTACAATATCATACTTTTGTAATAGGTAGATTTTTGAGTTAGATTTTTATAAAAAATTGAACTTGTTCTCATGTCTCAAGGGTATTGCCTCTTGTGTATTTCTGTGATTTCATTTCAACATTATTTTACTGTTTAGATGTTAGGGAAGAGCCTGTAATAGTTTTTTCTATTGTGGCAACTTGGTGTGGCAAATTTCCCCCCATTTGTGAATGTTTAAAAGAGTTTTGTGAGCTTTGTGAGCTTCAGTGGAAGGAAATCGTATCTTTTGTACAGTTGGGTTCACATGATCAGTGTCACAAATTTGCTCATTTTATTAGTGACCTAGAAATAGTGCAAAATCTTTATGTATGAAGTATTTCTCATTGGTTTTGTGCTGTAGTGTTTCTTGGTATATATTTCTGCAAATTCCTACAGCTTAAGACTGTTTATATTGTTTAAATTAAATTTAGATTTTGAATCACAGATTTTGAGGGGTGGTCTCAGACTTTTAAACCTCACGGTATGTGCCATAGTTTGTTGAGTTTTAACAATCAAATTCTGAGTGACTTTGAAAACATGTATTAGTCAAATGCTTCAACGTTTCATTCAAGCAGCTTTCAAAAACCCCCTGCTCTAAACATGTTTTTATTTTAAAAGTAAAATGCATCATATTAGCTATGCACCTATAACTAGCAGAATAAGTGACGCTTGTATAGTTTCATAATTTTTTGTGATAAACCCGATTCTGCCTCCCTCATGCAAACCCATTTATTTACACAGTCCCACATGTACAGTTAATATTCACTGCATGGAGTGGTATGCTGCCCTGCCTCATGGAGTGCAATGCACTTTGCTCCAGCTGTTGCCCAGCAAAATTAACCTGCCTAATACCAGAACTAATTACCTCTGCACATAGGCAAACGACATGCTATTTAGCAGTAATAAAAGGCAATTTCATATCACACATCCTTGTTTTTTTATATAGATGTGCGTTTGTGTGTTTGATGTTTTCCTTTGTGTCATTCTCTCCTCTAATCATTCACCTCTTTTCTGTGATTTGGTACTCAGCAATTGCATTACAGGTGCGGGACAAGAAATGATTCAGCGCTTTGATGCATTGATTTATAATTTAAGCATCCTTTACAAATCGTTTTTTGGAAGTGTGGTGATTTGTGTAAAGAACAAATGATTGATTAAATGCTTGAAAAACCTGGAAGTGAAATTTCTTCTCTTTGCATTAACTCGCCTTCCCTCTTCTGGGATGCCTGCTGGAATTGAATGCACGAGATTTGGATTGCTTGTGCAGTGGCTCTTTTACAGGGGGATATTAGGAAGATGATCAGCTGTCCTGAAAAGAAATAACATGGTCATAGTCTGCTACATTGTTTCTTGTGCTTTCAGTCATCTGATAAAGAAAAAATTGACCAACTTCAGGAAGAACTTCTTCGAACTCAGGTATTAACAGTTATATGTCATTGATTTTAAGCTTTGCTTTTGGTTTCAGTTTTTTTCCCACACTAAACCTTGTAGCCTTTTCATTTATTGTTATCATATTCAGTTTATACGTGTTTTATATTCCATTTCTCTCATGCTTATATAGTTGAAGTACCAACGGTTGCTGGAGCGTCTGGAAAAGGAGAATAAAGAACTGAGGAAAGTCGTATTGCAGAAAGATGACAAGGGTATTCACCAAAGAAAAGTCAAGGTCAGATTTGAACTTACTTCAATTATGCATAAAACTGATACATGCAATAAAACCAATTTTTTGAATGGTTGGCTTTCACTGATGCATTTCTTTTGGTTTTGATCCTGTGCAGAAGTCTTTGATTGATATGTACTCTGAGGTCCTGGACATTCTCTCAGATTATGACTCCAACTACAATACTCATGATCAGCTGCCAAGGGTCAGTGCTATTCTTATTTATTCTTCTCTTAGAATGTCAAATATTTACACAAAGCTTTGCTTTAGCATTGCAACTATCAGCTATTTTGGTAATCTAATGATGTGTAGATTATTTTTTGATTAAACAATTAACTGGATATGCTTTCCATCAAAATAATATATTTTGTATGCTGCAAAATATATTTGCTATAAAATGTAGAGGTTTACTGGTAAAAGGTAGAAAACACACATTCCCTTCGCAGATGATAATACATTACTGTAATCTGAATATACGTATTCATAGATGGACACATGTATGCACATTCACACAATGCATGCATACATATTACACATATCCACTGACACATACACATTTACACGCTATTTACCTCTGTTTTTTTTTTTTGTTCTTATGGTTGTACTTTTTTCATTAGTTTGATGTAGTCATCAAAATTTCTGTTTATATGTATACACACACACACACACACACACACACACACATACTTTTGTGAAAGTTAAAGTCCCCCTGTAGTCAAATATTTGATCCATTAAAACGTATTTTTGATAATCAAAATTACATATTTAAATGTTTTGTCTTCTGAAAATAGTTTTCTCATGCCTTAAAATAGCTTGAATGTAACTTCGCAGGGTAGGAGTGGGTAGTGACGCTGGGTGTAACTAAAAAGGTGCCATTGTCCGGTGAGGTCCGGTTGGGGAGTTACGGAACGATCTCCTATCGCATAATCTTATTAACTGTTTATCTCCTGAAATGCAACTTTCTTTACCACGCTATTCAGCGCCAATCCCGCCGTGTAGTCAATTTCACTGGTTAAGGTTAGGGTCAGGTGTGGGGTAGGTTTAGGGGTTAGCATTTTTTGTAGCATAGTGTAGGAAATCAACACTTTAATTGACACAACCAATAAAATCTTTAGAATCAGCTGTGGGGCGGAGTTTGCACTGAAGTGGATTGGGGGAAAAAATTGCGCATGCGTGTCATGTGCCTGTCTGTCAATGGGAGGAAGCCACACCCTATTTTGGAGCTCCTATATATATATATATATATCTTTTATTGAAATAAATTAAGCTAATTATTTTCCTCTTATGTTATCTCATAAAACGCCTCTTAATGGTTCAGACATAACCAGCTTCTGTCTTCTCTTCACTAGGTGGTGGTAGTTGGAGACCAGAGTGCAGGAAAGACCAGTGTGTTGGAGATGATAGCTCAAGCTAGGATCTTTCCTAGAGGCTCTGGAGAAATGATGACCAGATCTCCTGTCAAGGTGAATTAAACAAACTACACTCAGATAGTAGTTATACGACACATGAATAATAATAATATAGTAAATATTGTAGTAATTGTGATGTGTTTACCTGTAGGTGACATTGAGCGAAGGCCCTCACCATGTAGCAATGTTCAAAGACAGCACTCGTGAGTTTGACCTTGGGAAAGAGGAGGATGTAGGTTTCTTAACTCAAATTATGTAGCACAAGTTTGTTATTTTCTGTATTTGTCAGATCACTGAGATTATTTTTTCTAGCTTGCAGCATTGAGGCATGAGATTGAACTCAGGATGAGGAAGAGTGTGAAGGAAGGTCAGACAGTCAGTCCTGAGGTGAGACCATCCTTCCTTTGCTGCTTTTGTGAAAACATTCACACTTGAATCTGCCCGGATACTTTGATATTCATCATTCATGTGTTTTTTTATTCTCTATTAGACCATCTCTTTAAGTGTAAAGGGTCCAGGAATCCAGAGAATGGTGCTCGTTGACTTGCCGGGGGTCATCAGTGTACGTTTTGTCTTCATTTTCATACAATTTAACACATAACCTTATACATCTATTCAGAACATGTTTGATGTCACCGACTGTTTAATTTGTATACAGACTGTGACATCCGGCATGGCTGCTGACACAAAAGAAACCATTTTTAGCATTAGTAAAGCCTACATGCAGAATCCAAATGCCATCATCCTCTGTATTCAGGGTGAGTTTTCACACTTTCATTAAAATATTTGTCACTAGCATTGTATTAAGACGAGACTGTTTATTCTCTGTCTCTTGCTTTATTTTTCTTTTTCAGATGGCTCAGTAGATGCAGAGCGTAGTATAGTCACTGATCTGGTCAGTCAGATGGACCCTCAGGGCAAAAGGACCATCTTTGTCCTTACAAAGGTTGACCTGGCAGAAAAGAACCTAGCTAGTTCAAGCAGAGTAAGACCTTTAGATATTTCACTACATGAACTCTCAGTGATGTGTGTTACTTACTGTATTAGCCACTAGAGGGAGGCTTTTTGTGCCCTCTCACACTAAACAAGCAATACTGACTACTGTTATGTGCAGATGATGACATTTATGGGAATTTTTTACACCTCATTAAAAAAAATATATATATATTTTGTTATTTGCCTCAAATTATTCATTTTTTTCCCCCCATTTGTAGATCCAGCAAATAGTTGAAGGCAAATTATTCCCAATGAAGGCTTTGGGCTACTTTGCTGTAGTAACTGGAAAAGGTAAACATGAGATCTTTCTAGAAACCTTTAGCATTTGAAATTTGCTGCGCTTAGATAAAATCATTCAGACCCATGATTCTTTTGTAGGCAGTTCTAATGAGAGCATAGACTCCATCAAAGACTATGAGGAGGACTTCTTTCAGAAGTCAAGACTGCTGAGGTAGGACTCAATTGCATATTTCTAACTTAGTATGTCTTTAATCTATCACATTTTGATTGGACAATCTTTTCCCAAACTGCTAAAGGGATGGCATGTTGAAAGCTCATCAGGTGACCACAAAGAACCTCAGTCTTGCTGTGTCAGACTGCTTCTGGAAAATGGTCAGGGAGTCAGTGGAACAACAAGCAGATGCCTTTAAAGGTGAGATATAATAGAGATTCAGATCTTATATTACTGTGGTTCATACTATGACTTCAACTAACAAATCTTAAAGGCATTGTTCGCAGATTGTTAAAAAATGTACATTCTGCCTACTCACCCACATGTGACCCATTTTCTTTTTCTGTGGAGCACAAAAGAAGAAATTAAGCAGAATGTCCATGCTATACTTTTCCATACAAGAAAAATATGAAATAAGTTGGTCATGTTCCAAAAAGATGGAATAAAACCTCATAACCCATGAAGTCTTCTAAAGCCATATGCTATCCTTCTGCAAGGAACAGACTGAAATGTATGCCCCCCCCCCAAATCTGTAACAGGACAGTCGTTCGCAACTAGGGAGCCAGGGCCCACTAGGGGTCCTTAGCAAACTTACAGTGGGGCCTCAAGATGACTTGAAATGATTTAGAATAAGACAAAACAAGTATTTAAATAAGCTGAAACAATTAAAAATCAAGAAAGTCATTTTAATTCAATGACCTGAATACCTTTTTTCCCTTTGATGAACCAGGGTTCCCACTCTCTTGAAAAACCTAGATATATGAGGTAGTCTAAATGAACATTTCCATAATGAATATACATATTTCTTGTTATGCAGTGGGATAGAAATTGAGAGTAATGAATATATTTAAAAATCCTTATCCTTAACAGGTTCTCAGAAGCGATAGTATACTTATATAGTGGTGAATGGAAATTACCAATAACAAATGTATTTTTTTGTTGCGTTCCTATTTGCTTTAGTAGAAAAAGAAAAAATCCAAGATAGCGTTTCTGTGTCTTTCCAAAAGAGGAAAAAAAATATTGAGAGATTAATTACGATGATCAGAAGAGAGAAAGATGTTGAATTTGCCAAGGTAAAATAATACAAAGTATAGTCTTATAAATGTACATTCAATTAAAAAAAAAAGAAAAACAAATTGCTATAGTTATGATGTTAATAACTGTGAAAATACGTCAACACAGTCTGTGTAAAGGGTCCATCCTTATTCAGTAAATCACAAATAACTGGAAATGTCATGGGGCCTTTGATTATTGTAGTGGACAATGAGGATCCTTGGAGTCAAAAAGGTTGATAAGTACTACTTTAGGACACATCTGAAAACCTTGAAATAAAAAAAGGCACAAGAACTGTGCTTTTGGGCCTTTAAGTTGATCATTGCTATTTTTATTCCCTATTAAGATGCTGATTTTCAAGGGCATTTTGTGAAGCAGAGTGCACATCAGCTCTCAGGAGACTCAGTAAATAAACCTTAATAGAATCCAAAGCAACAGCTCGACAGCCACTTAACTCTAAAACCCACCTCAGCAGAGCTCTTTCCCTGTTCTATTGCGTGCTGATTGCCGTCACACCTCACCTCAGCTCAGATGTTCTGCACAGGGTACGCTGTAGACCTCCACGCTGCCAATTAACAGGCCAGCCCTGCTAATGCTCTGCCTCTAGATTTATTGCCTGACCCAGGACACTTCTCAAACCTTTGTGTGGGCTATCGATCTCCACGGCTGCACTGGGGCCAGCCCGATAACCAGAGCAATTAGCGTCATCTCCATTGTGTGAGTGAGACACCCGGCCCGTGTGTATGCTGGGGACGCAGGGCCCCTGGGGAGCGTGGGGTTGCTGATACAGTGCACGCCTGACTCCAGGTGCATTGATCATGGCCACGGCATAGTCTGGTGTTCCTGTATGGGGAACAAGACCGAGGGAGATGGGAAGTGTCTGAGGAACAGGGCTACTGTACTGAAAAGTTTTAGCAAAAGTTCGCTCTATTATTATAGGTGAAATTTGAACACATTGTTTTATAGAAAATCTTTTTTTTTTTTTTTAAGTATGAGAATAATAGCCAGGTTACTAATGATCATGTTTAAATTACATCTGACCTACTTATTGCAGGTTTTTTATCATATTTATTTTTTATCATGTTTGTTAGAGGTACTGAAATTTCACAGTGACCTTATGTAAGATACGCTGTCCATAAAATGTAGTATATTAAAGGTATAGTCCACCCAGAAATAAAAATCATCATTTACTCACCCTCAAGTCATTCCAAACCTTTATGGATTACTTTATTTGTGTAACACAGAAGATATTTTGAAGAGTGTTGGTAACCAAACAGTTTCTGTTCCCATTAACTTCAGTTGTTTGTTCAGAAAATACTATGGATGTCAATGGGACAAAAAATTTTGGTTACCAAAAAAAAAAAAAAAAAAAATTCTTTCTTTCACACAGGTTTGGAATGACATGAGTAAATGAAAGAATAAAAAAAAAAAAAAAAAAGTAAAAAAAAAAAAAAAAAAAAGTTTCCTTAAATTTTTTGGCAATATTAATGAAAATAATAATCTAAATTGAACTTTACTTCCTGTTCCCTGTTGACCAGCATCCCGATTTAACCTGGAGACTGAGTGGAAGAACAACTATCCTCGCTTACGAGAGCTGGACAGGGTAAGAATCGGCTCCTGCTTAACTATTCTAGATTTTTAGGTCTAGGACTCCTTTTTAAGCGTCGGATCAACATTCTAATTTAAGTATGGCAAAAAATCTAAACAAAATTAATGAATATAGTAACATAATATTGTTCCTAATATACTGTCCTTGCAAAATGAAAGTAGAAAAAAATAACGAAGTACTTAAAAAAAAAAAAATCCTGCAATGTACTCTACATTATCTTTGACAGCATTAATAATCGTATGTGCCCTATGACCTCATGAGATTAAGTATTTGTTTTATATTGTGTATGTCATGCTCTTCGTTCATAGAACGAGCTATATGAGAAGGCCAAAAATGAGATCTTGGATGAGGTGATCAGCTTGAGTCAAGTTACACCAAAACACTGGTGAGCACTTCTCTTTTCATTAACTACAAAATTAATTGTAGGGCTGTCTATTGATTAAAAATTAATCAGATTAATTACATAGCATGCATCCTGTGTGGACGACTTCTTACTAATTTTGTTCTGCTTACTCCCTAATTGGGGATGTATATGTATATACATTTAATTTCATTGTTTATTATTTAATATTGATTTTATGTTATTTATGCTTTGATAAACATATGATTTGACACATCAGAGGTCAAAAACCTTTGTGAGTAACAGGATATATATATATATATATATATATATATATATAAAACTCAAATTTTAAACTATTATAGGCTTTCAATATATTGCGAACCATGCAGCTTTACAAGTCAAGAGGTCAATCTGTAGCGTTTAGATTGGCTGAAGTCATAATATGTTTCACTATATAAACTATATTTATATTTATACGTACAGGTTATATCCTGTTCATCCGCACAACCAATAATGAGGTATTCTCAATCTTCAACTCTTTGTTGGCTGGCAGATGTGAAACTCGACATCTCCATCTCCATGGCTTCAGGGTTGACTCTACCATCAGAATGCAAAGCTACAAGCTGTACCCAGAGTTATGAACCTAAGACCCAGAGGAGCAAGCTAAATGAAATAGATCAGATGTTTGTAGGGGGCCCAGTGTGCTCCATCAGCATCTCAAATCAATGGCATGATGAATAGCTGGAGGGTGGCTTCTCTGGGCAGCACTAGTTTGGTGCTATTGGAGATGTGTGTGTATTGATGTACCACGCTAGAACAAAGCAAACAGGAAGCTATGAAATATGCTTTCCTTTTATGATAATAATAATAATAATAATAATAATAATTCATTACATTTATATAGCGCTTTTCTAGGCACTCAAAATACTTTACATTGTCAGGGGGTATCTCCTCATCCACCACCAGTGTGCAGCATCCACCTGGATGATGCGACGGCAGCCATAGTGCGCCAGAACGCCCACCACACACCAGCTTACTGGTGGAGAGGAGACAGCTTGACCGTCACCCTATTCTCATCTTTGTCTTAATGTCAAGTCAACGAATTTTTAGAATTGTGAAGTACATTTTTGACATTATTTAATGGTTGAGAGAACTGAAAATAACATAATTAGCATTGATTATTGTGCTCTTGGTCTCCATTTGATAGCAGCTTGCTCATGTATATTTTAAGAATTACCAAACATAATTTTTATGTCATTTTAGGGAGTCCATCTTACAGAAGAAGCTCTGGGAAAGAGTCTCGACGCATGTTATTGAGAACATCTACCTGCCTGCCGCCCAGACCATTAACTCAGGCACTTTCAACACCACTGTAGACATCAAACTCAAGCAATGGACTGATAAACAACTTCCTCATAAAGCACTGGAGGTAATGAAACACTGATAGTTGTAATGAAACACTGATAGTGCTGATAGTTGGTAGTTAGATTTCTCAAATCATCAGGTAAAAAAAAGACTATATGTGAAATGCTTATATTATATTACATATTATATGTGACAATATAAATCTCTTGATATTTAATGCATCCTTGCTGAATTAAAGTTTTAATTTCTTTAAAAAAAGTCTTACTGACCCCAAACTTTTATTTATATTATATTATTTTACAGAGATCTATAACACCATGTGAAAATAAAATATTTCTCTCATCCAATTTAAATATGTTTTCTTTGCTACTCAGGTTGCTTGGGAGACATTGCAGGAGGAGTTTGCCCGCTTCATGGCAGAGTACAAAGGGAAAGACCAGGATGACATCTTTGATAAGCTTAAGGAAGCTGTCAAGGATGAGAGCATCAAACGACACAAATGGAACGAAAGAGCCATGGACAGCTTGGTAAATAAAACATATATAATTATCAGAAATAGTCGATTATTTTGCTAATGCAGCACACAGTTGTTTCTTGAGGGTTGTCAGTAAATGTTACTTACATGTGTGCGGTACAGAGAGTGATTCAGCACAACGCTCTGGAGGATCGTTCTATCACAGACAAGCCCCAGTGGGATGCCGCTATTCATTTCATGGAGGAAACGCTACAGTCTCGCCTTAAAGACAGTATGTCTACCCCTCATAAAGCCCTTTCTTGTCTATCAGTCTATGGAGTGTGTGACTCATCTTCCTGTGTTGCAGCTGACTCAGTAATAGCAGATATGGTGGGACCAGACTGGAAGCAGAGGTGGTTGAGCTGGAAAAATCGAACACCAGAGCAGGTTGAACAGACAACACTATAAAAATTGTTTTTGGTCCATTTTTATGATCTTGGAGCCAGATTTTAGTGTCAGTTTGTGGCATTACTATAGGTGCTAGTGAAAAGAGAGTCAACACAATTTTGTTTTCTAACTCTAGCACATACGTAATGAGACCAAAAACGAGTTGGAGCGTCTGTTGAAGCTGCATGAGGATCACACAGCCTACCTGGCCAATGATGAGGTCACTACAGTGCGCAAAAACCTGGAGGCCCGAGGAGTGGAAGTGGACCCTGTACTGGTAAGTGAGACCCTGGGAGAGAATATCTAACATTGCTATCTGCACATCTGATTTAATGCTTTTTTACTAATGCATGTTTAAATGATTTCTCTCTGTAGATCAAGGACACGTGGCACCAATTGTTTCGACGTCATTTCCTGCAGAAGGCGTTACTACATTGTAACCTCTGCCGGCGAGGTTTCTACTACTACCAGAGGCACTTTGTAGACTCTGAGGTAGAGAAAATGCCTTTTTAGTAAAATTTTCTTTTTAAAAGTAATAATTAGGTTCTCCCAAAGTGTTCTCTTTTGAGAATGTTTAAGGAGAATACATTTGTTTTAATTTATTTAACTAAATATGATAAATTTTCCATAATAAAAGAAAAGTAATTTGCACTCTTTGTATAATAGAATCTTTCAGCCAAAGAAAATGTTGTAATCTGTAATTTAAACAAACACACAATTTCTGTAAAATGTAATAGCAGTTTGTTTTATTGTTGGGTCATGTTAAAAGGGTCTATTTACCTAATGGTTTCACTTATTTCTCTGTATTCCAGCTTGAGTGCAATGATGTGGTTCTATTCTGGAGGATCCAGAGGATGCTGGCTATCACAGCCAATACTCTTAGACAACAGCTCACTAATACAGAAGGTACGTCTGTGGGTTCTCAAGTCTTCAGTTCTGGTTGCTTAGCACAAATCTCATATCATAAATGAAACAGGCTTCAGTGGGAGGGAACAGTGACTGAGACCACTATCATTACGTTCCACGTTCAAACAACACAAATCGGTGAATTTTAAAAATGTTTTTGTACAGTGCGGCGCTTGGAGAAGAACGTTAAAGAAGTATTAGAGGACTTTGGAGAAGATACTGAGAAGAAAGTCCAGCTGATCACAGGCAGGAGGGTTCAGTTGGCAGAAGACCTCAGTAAGTCCATCCTCATACTTTCTCCTGGTTTAGCCTGTGAAACAGCAGTAAGGCAGGGCGACCACCAGAGGGCAGTGTTGTTTTGCACTTGAGTACTTTCATGTTATCTATAATGGATAATTTAACCATTTATCAAATTTTACTCCAGCATTACATTTCCATTCATGTTGCATTTATAAAATTCTTTAATATTTTCTTTTTTTGGAATACTTTTGATGTGTATTTTACATAATTTTTAGTGCAACAATTCAGTTGATCTTTATTTATTTATTTTATTGTTGTGTGTTGAGTCTAAATGGATATTCAAATCAGCTTCCCCCCTTATCTATTTCTAAGCATTTCTCACATTTGAAGTTTTTTTTAAAAGGGCCAAACCCATTTGTACTTCAGTGTCAGGTGTTTGCGGTCGGAATTCCGCTCTTTTCCATTTTTTCCGTTGTACCTTCTAACTCATTTGAAGTGATATTAGTTCTGAATAGGCTACAGATAGCTTTTCACATTCTCTTCACTCTCACACTCCCTCTTATTTTTTCCTTCCTCTGTTGAGGCTTGAACCCTTAATTTGTTGAGTCTAAATGGATATTCAAATCAGCTTCCCCCCTTATCTATTTCTAAGCATTTCTCACATTTGAAGTTTTTTTTAAAAGGGCCAAACCCATTTGTACTTCAGTGTCAGGTGTTTGCGGTCGGAATTCCGCTCTTTCCAATACTTTTTTCCGTTGTACCTTCTAACTCATTTGAAGTGATATTAGTTCTGAATAGGCTACAGATAGCTTTTCACATTCTCTTCACTCTCACACTCCCTCTTATTTTTTCCTTCCTCTGTTGAGGCTTGAACCCTTAATTGCCCTTCACAGTGTGAGAGAGCTCCTGGCTGCGCACTGCCTGCTGTCTGTCATGTCTTCAGCCCTGGTTACTGTTAAACACTCTGTTGATTAAAGCAGCAGTTTGTGGAGGCACGGCTGACATGCTCAGACTTGATCTCGCGTAGACACACGACTCGCACACACATACTGTCATTACTGTGATAACAGATGCTTACTGAGCACGGTCTCTTTTGAATAGGTTGACGAGCTTAAGTGTCTTTGCAGTGGACTGAAACAAAGCATGACTGAAGTGATTTTGTCCCATAACTCAACAAATATCTTTCAAAAATGTATTTATCAGTCAATAAAGCATTGAATCTTTGCAAATACATATTCACCCAGATCTTTTGATATGCAGTTTTATATATTCTGCCTGTTCACACCAAGGACCGTAACAAACGATAACTATAAAGTTTTGATAATCATTCTAATGCTGTGAGAATGGAGAAGTCCACAACTACAACTTTCATGGCACAGAGAAATTATATTGTAATCACTTTCAGAATGATTTTAATCAAGCTAATGAACGATAAATACATTGACAGCAAATCCACCCAAAAGCTTGTGCTTATAATAAACAATATTATTGTGCATTAGTGTAGATTCTAATATTGTTATAGTATCTTTATTATTATCGTTCTAGGTGTGAACAGGCCTTAAAGGTGCAATAGGTGATTGTCTTCAGAAACATTTTTTGTTATGCTGGTTGAAAGTCTCTTCACATCACGATAGCAAGCATTAAGTTAAGTGGTCTAAATGTATTTATCTGTATTTATATATTCTGTGGAAGGCGTAGGACCAAGAAATGTTCATCCAATCAAAACGCTCGGTCCGAGCGTTTTAATTGACTTTCTTACCTGCCTGTCAAGTAAGTATCTGCATACCTCTGCGCACCCGGTTCGCGCAGACAGTGCGTTCACACACACTGTGCAGACAGAGCGAGAATGGCAGACAAACATCAGCAAGTCGATCTTCCTTCATGGTATTGTAGTACTTTTACTAACTGTACTAGTTCGCGCAGACAGGATACGTCATCAGCGCGTTCACGCACGCAGTGTAGACAGAGTGAGAATGGCAGACAAACATCAACAGCCCGATCTTCCTTCCTGGTATTGAAGTACTTTTAAAGTTTTCTCACCGGTGAATGACACATGATGTAGCCCAGCGGTTCCCAATTCCTGTCCTCGCGCCCCCCAGCTCTGCATATTTTGCATGTCTCGCTTAGATTACACACCCGATTCAGATAACCAGCTCGTTAGAAGCGAGCTACGTGCATGAACTGTGTTCCGATCGATACGATCCCTACACAGTGTTCATTGCTCCCTACTCTCTGAGCAGGGAAATCCGTTGAAGTTTACTTCACTTCAGAACATTCATTCACGGATTTGCGCCGCGCTGCGTCTTCACACACATCACACTTAAAGTTAGCATTTTCCAAGATCTCCTACTGCACCTTTAAGTATTCAGGACACAGTCTTATAGGACAGAATTGGAGCAAAGTGTGCTTGATCTGTTTTGTCTGCTTTTGTACCTGCCTAAATATAAAGACCAGGATGTTGGGCTTTTTTGGTCCTGTGAGCATGTCCACTAGTCTAAGTAGATGTTCGGCCCTCTACTGTTTAAGCCGATGCTTGGCATTGGGTAACCCTTAGAGTGGATTCCTGTGCTGTAAAGCATGACATTGCCTGGTGGACAACCAGCACTTAGGGAAAACACAAGCATGACCTCCCAAGAAGTGGCTGTTATGCTAATAAAAGCAAGTCTGGGCATGCATGCATGCATCAGTGCCCTAGCTGTCGCCACTGCACAAAACACATGGTCACTCTATTAAAGTGCAGTCAGTCTTTCTGAGAGGGAGAGAGAGTGGGCTGCAGTGACAGGTTTTGGATTGTTAATAATGGTTGCCATGATATGAAAAACAATTGCTGCGTTTAGTAAAAGTAATAATTAGGTCTGTCAGAGTGGTCACTTTTGAGATTAACAGCGTAAATGCCGTTAGCATATTTACTTAACTTTGTGACTTTAAAACTACTTAATTTTGTTTTGAAAGAAAAAAGAAAAAAGCTAAATTAAGCATTTTTAAATAATTTGTTTTTTTTTTTAAGTAAAAAATGAAGTAAAGTAAATGTAATGCCATTTAATATTTAATAATTCTCACTGGTGGAATATCAACGCATCAGTGTTCAGTAGTCAGTAATTTTGAAAGACACCATTAACAGGGAATTAACAAACATAATCACATTGTTGATTTATTTTTTTTAATCTGTTGACAGACCTAACAATACGTTGAATTAATACATTGAGTTTGTTAATTAATACACATTAAGTATTAATCTGGCTGCAATACACATTTTTTATGTTCTGAATTGAAGCAGAAACTTTCTTATGAATTAAATAATTTCTTAATTTTTCTATTTGGCATTAGTTTACAGGAATCGTAATGGCATGATCGTTTGCAGTGTCACATACAGTTTTTCCATTTTCTTTCACAGTATACTGTCAATTTTTGTGCACATGGGATAAATCAAAAGCATAATTATAGTTGTCAGGCCAGAGGTTTGCAAATGTGTTTAGTGTATGCATACTACATTATCTGTTCTGTGTATACACAATTTATGCAGTGTGGTGTTGTGCAAGAGATGATGTTTTTGTCAGTACAACAGTTTTGCCACCCTTTTTGGGGTACCTTTGCAGTTTCTGCCACATCCTGAAGGGATGTGCAAAAAACATGAGTTTGGACAGAATCCTGGCTATTTTCACTTTCTTTACAAATAGCGGGGAGGAATTTGTGGGCTTGTCTGGCCTTGCTGCCTTTCCTGCGTGAGGTGGCATCATGTTCCCAGGGTTCCTGGAGCTTTTGATGTACTTTGATGCACTGTCCCCGCTTCCTCTCAGAGAGAACAAATTATCTTATTTCAACTGTGCCCACCTCTTAAATTCTTAAACCAATTAAACAGTGAGGTTTTCAATCTGGCCTGGTTTCAAACACCAGTATTCTACTCTCAAATGATTTTTAATTTTTTCAGTTGTCTCCTTGCAAGCTGAATCAAACTATTTTTATTGGCATCTACGTTTCTATGAAGAACCTTAAGCCTTAAGCCTGCGCGAAAGGATATTTATAGTGGGTAAAGGTTATTTAGATTATTTGAATGTTCTTCACTCTTAAAAATGGTTCTTCAAAAAACTGTTCACTGAAAGGTTCTTTGGGAGTCCCAAAATGGTTCTTCTATGGCAGTGGTGACCAACCTTTTTAAGGCCAAAATCCCTGACATCGGCCTTTATCAAAGACAAGATCTACCTATTGAAAAACTGATATAAAAAGACAGCCTAGATTACTTCCAATTTGAGGCCTTATATTTAGTATTTTAATTAGTGATGCACCAATCATGGCTGATTTAAAATCAGATTTGTTTTTAAGCTAGCAAATTGGCAAATTCTAATAGCTTACTGGTTGCTGATTTTTATTTTTATTTTTAAAGCAAATTTATTTGCTCTATAACAAGCAAACTGGCCTTAGACAAAATATCTGTAGGCATATGAAATTAGAGGCAATCACTGCATTTTATTACGATCCAAAGAAAGATGCTACACACGTTTCATGAGTAGTTGTTTTTGATTTGAATTAGATTGTAAAATTTCAGGATTTAAAGCAAAAACAGAACAGTCTGATTTTTTCTTTGTGAAATTATGCCACATAAAACAGCTGCATGAAACAAAAACAGCAGACGGGCTGAATGAGATGCATATTCACTCTTTGACAGCAGGTGGCGCTTATGGAACAGCAGGGATACAGCGTTACACGCTGTAAACAAAGCAGTGCTGTGCTTGTTAATACTACGGAGGTAAGAGGAGAAGAAAATGCCATTGCCATCGAAACTATTCTGAAGACAGTCTGTTCCCTTCAGTGATACATTAATATAGCCTCTCACCCCCAATTCAATATTTATATTTTCATCTTATGCTTCGAGCATCGTGAACAGTGATCTTGCTCTGCCTGCTATAGTATTTAGTAATTTCTCCTCTTTGTGTCTGTCTTCAGCATCTCTGTTAATATCCTGTTTACAGACTCAGGCATGATGTCTTTTTCATTATCACTGTCCCAGTAGCTCCCGAAAATAACAGAAAAATATCTAC